GTCAGTGCTGGTTTCAGAAAAGGTGGTTACACCCGGGTGGGTACCCAGCTCGGCCCTCCCTTCCCACCCCGGAGGAAAGGGAGCGCCAGGTTGGTTGGCACTGCCTGCTGAAAGGTGGGGCTTGCTCTGCACCTGCTGCGAACCTGCCAACGTTCAAAGCACTGGTGCCATCCAAGTCAGAGCTCACCTGGCTTCCCTGGTGTTGGATACCTGCAGCCAGACAGCCCTGCGTGCTGCTGTAAGGTCAAAAAGCCCTTCAGCCACCAGGCTCCCTTCTGCCATCAGCACACACCGGGCGCTGAGGGAACAGCAACCACAACAGTAACTGCTGCTGGCTGCAGCACTTTAGCAGAACCTCAGCATTTAGATAAATTCATAGCAACTGGGAAGAACAGAGGGCCCAGCGCTGCAGGGGCAGTCGGGTCTCAGCCTGCACGCCTGGCAGTAGCAGGTTTCTTTGCCTCTGACGCTGCCAGCACAACTGAAGAGCCGTGGCTACTGAAACCTGCAGACAGGCCTGAGAAACTTACCGTTGTACGGTGTTTGGACTGCACAGCGGGAAGATAAACAGGCATCTCTTGCCATTGTTAAGCTCTGGTTTACATTTGTAAGAGCAGGGCTTTATTGGTTACTAGATGGTTTCCCGCTGCACCACTGAGGTCGGATTCTCCCAGTGCCTGAAGGAAGCACTACCCAGCTGGAAAGCCTAAAGAACATCCCACACTGCTCTGTAATAGCGCTGAATCAAACACATTACTGGAGCGTAACAGTGTGGGATCGAATCCATTACACGCTTTCAGTCCAAACGCTGCTCACGGACACCTCGGGCGTTAAGCAGTTAATGATCCATCTACAATAGCAAGCGTTACTCCAAAAAGGAGTAACAAATACAAATCAAATACAACGCAGTTGGGCTGCTGCGGACAAAGCCTTCCCTCCTGTCGCACAATCGGCTCCGACCCCTTTCCTGCAGCAACTGGCCCACGTTCAGCCACCGCACGCTGCACACCCAGTTCCATCTCCGACGGCGGCCACAGGCCATGCACCAAGCCGGGGCCAAATGATGGGGATCGTGGCAGAAGACAGAGCATCAGGGCTCGGACTACACAGGATGCACCAGAGATCAAAACTACGCTCAGCTGACCCCTTCAGCTATTAGACAGGAGACGAAACGTGCCTAGAAGCAGCACGCACACGTTTTGATTACCCAGCATCCTCAATTCAGTATGTTTTTTTTTGTCTGCTTTTACCCTCTTCCTGCTTGTATCAAATGTATGTGAACACACCAGCAGTTTAGAGTAGTTTTCCACTTGGAGTAACAGACCGTGTGTAAGGGTGGGGTAACAAAGCACGTAAGAGGCACCGCCTTGGTGTAACAGGGTGATGCCCTAAGGAAGGTGGTGGCCGCAGAAAAAGAGGGGAAGGTTGGCGAGTACACTTCCAGAATTCCCCTCCAAATTCTTTCACCTCCAGGTCCGTTCACCTTGTGAAGCCAGAGGTAACACAGACCCTTCCAGAAATCCAGCCTCTGCCTTCCTGTAACACCCATCCTCTTGCCTATCCCCATCAGCAGGTGGCACAACCTAGCTGCAACTCCTTAGGGAAATACTGTGTTATCAAGTGCGGAATTCGGCCAAAACAGAGACGCAAATAATACCTGGGGGAAAGAAAACTAGACCTCGTCACCCCCAGCAATTTGTGCAGACTGTCCACCACTCCTCCCAGCACCTGAGTGCTGCCGCCTTTCACAGCAACGAAGACAAGAAGCGCCTCTGCCACAGGTGTTTTATTGAGTGAGTTACACTGAGCGCATCACGCTTCACAGTTCGGTGAACAAGCAGGGTTCGGCCACCGTCTCCTTATGCTGAAGGGGATCTGCAAGACAAAAACACCCCAAAGTTACGCTGGGTGCTCTGAGGAAACGTGTTAGTATGTACGAACGCAACGCCGCCAAGAGAAACGTTGATGTGGTGGTTCTGTCTAGAGGAATTCCCCCTGTTATTTCCTGATGGTTTAAGGTTCACACGCCCTTCATGTGGCGAACAGAAGTGAAACATGGAACGAATCAAGAGCTGGAACAACGCTGCACAGCACATCAGATTCACCATACATGCTGCATCAAGAACTGAATCAGCCTTGCTGAGGGCCTGAAAGAGAAAGGAATGCAGCCTTCAGATAGGAGCCAGAGAGGAAACAAGTGGTGTAGGCAACCTACCAAGGGAGGAAGAAAACCAAACTCAGATTGCTTCTCCACGTTGTACTGAACGCGATCCAAGACCAGCTGTGCTCCACGACGAGAGCCATGCAAGGGGTTAGCACCCAGCTCTCCGCTCGCCCCTTGCCGCCTGCTCCCCAGCGCACTGCAGAGGGAGGACGTGCCTCAAATCTGTACTTGCCCTTGGTTCCACGATGGGCGTCACCACGCGGAGGCCGTGCCACGCGGGCGAAACAGTGCCCCATCCCTGGCTGTCTTGCCCCATCCTTGGCTGTCTTCAAGGCCAGGCTGGATGAGGCTTTGAGCAACCTGGTCTAGTGGAAGGTGTCCCTGCCCATGGCAGGGGGGTTGGAACTAGATGACCTTTAGGGTCCCTTCCAACCCAAACCATCCTGTGATTCTATGACTAAATGCAAGCTCGGGTACCAAGCTGCCTACGTGCCCATCAGGAACAAATGGTGCAGGGTGCCAGGCTAACACCCTCCCTAATGAATCCTCCCTGGTCGAGTGGAGTGTGTCCCTGCCCATGGCAGGGGGGTTGGAACTAGATGACCTTTAGGGTCCCTTCCAACCCAAACCATCCTGTGATTCTATGACTAAATGCAAGCTCGGGTACCAAGCTGCCTACATCAGGAACAAATGGCGCAGGGTGCCAGGCTAACACCCTCCCTAATGAATCCTCCCACAGCCTCCCCGACCCTTCCCTCAATCTGGGGGCTACATGCTGACTCCAGACCAAGGAATCAGTGAGGTTAAACCCCTGTGTTTACTGCCACGTACAGAACATGAAACCAAACGGGAGATGCAGAGCATGCAACACACTGTACCCTTAGGGAACTGCAACAAAACAAGCATCAAGCTCAACCTCCTCCCAACTTCCATGGCTAAGATTTAAGCTACTGAGGCAAATGAAAATGCCTTCCATGTGTTCTGTGTCCTTTGCACAGCCTTTCCGGAGCATTTTCAACACTGGCGTTGTCTTCCCCTTCCTCTACTTAGGTATTCGTGTGCAGGCACAAAAATAACCTTCTTCTACTGTGAATGAGTACAAAACACCAGTTCTTGTGTAAATCGGCTAAGGAATAAGAAGCATCAGCAATTCACACGCAATCACATACGAAGATTTGTGTTCCACATTTTCTTTTGAGCTGGGGCAATTAAGGAATGGAAGAAATGTTTAGGAAACATTTAATTTCAACAGGTGCACACAATGTGCAACTTCTTTTCTTTACGCTGCAAATGGGAGCCCGAGTTAACTGAGAGCGGAGCTCTGTTTGCACTGAAAAAACCCTGCTCATGATTCCAATTAAATATTCCACATGCATCCTTGTTGACAGTGTTTGTTTCAAATGATTTTTACCACCAGATGGCCTTTCGGAACACTCTGATGAAGGCCATCTGACTGAAGAATGCAATTCCAGTGTCTAACACAGTTTAAAAGTGCCTATATATGAGCAAGGGGACTGAAGCAGAGGCAGAATTACCAAGATTAAAACCAGGTAAATTGATTGTTTTGGTACTTATCTTTGTTGCAGCAACAGCTAAAGAACAGAAGTTTCCCCCTCTCACCAAAAAACCCACAAAAGGCCTGCCTTTTTTTTTAAGAATTTGTCAGGGGAGCTGGAGCTCTGCTTTTTTGTGTCATTGTGTTATGCAGGAACCAGAGAGCTGTAGATCGTCACACAACAGCGTTTCGTATCGACAGTGTTAAGTACGAATCTCCCGTTCAGTCTTGCTGCTTTAAGCAAGCAGGCTGAGAAAATCCAGCTGGCTGGGATAATTAGAGCCACAGATTATCACGTAATGATCCCAATATGAAAACATTCCGAAAGAATGAAAAAGCTATCACTCTAGATTAGCTTGAAGTCGCTTTAAGAGAAGCAGAGAACTCGAGGTAAGAAATTTGGATCAAGAAAGGGGGAGGTATTCCTTACTGAGCTGTCACACCGTGAGCTTGTGCAGATGAGTGAGCGTGCTTATTAATGACTACGACAAGGTTGAAATCAAGACTTTCTTTCCCCTGGTGTTATGACAACAAGTAAGGGGGAACAAAGTGTGGTGGTCTTCAAACAAACGGCAGTGTTCAGTGCTAGGAAAACCGTAATGGGAGCAAAGTTCTATTTGAGCTTAATTCAGTACGGCAAAAGCGCGAGGAGGATTCGTGCACGGAGCTGGACGCCACTGCGCTTCTTATATATCCGTGTGTATGTAGGTACCTCAACATGTTTCCCCCCACGACTAGTTATCTTCTCCCCTTAGCGACTTCAGAAGACCACAGGACGTGTGGAAGCTCTCTGCTTCTCACACCAGCACACACACCATGAGAACAGCCTCGCCGTTCTCTCCCTCCCTGCGCCACCACACGTAGGTAAGCGGGAGGCAGAGATGGCCCGGAGCGAAGCAGTTCAAGATGTGACAGCATCAACCTAACAGTGGTACGGGGCAAGTCTTGTAGTTTAATACAAGAGCTCTGCCTCCTCTCCACGGCCGCACGAGGAGGGAAAGGCCTGGCGTCACTCTGCGCAAGCCTCCGGCATCGCACAAGTGAAACAAACCACCCAAAAGCTACTCAAGGAGCTTTTCCCTCTGCCCTCACTCCCCGCTGCTCCCCTTTTGTTACGCAGAGTTCTCTGGAGCGCGCTCTGTACCCGCTCTCTTGGGAGCACCTTTCTGATCAAAAAAGGGACGAACCTCCAGACACAAGCACAGCGTTTCAGGCTGAAACGACCTACCTGACTCTCATTCTGATGCAGAGCAGCTTATTACCTGTAAATGCAGGTTGCCATCACTTGGGCGGCGCCGACTCAAACACACCGGCTGCTCTCATGGCCTCGAAGTCCTTCATGGGATCATAGTTTTTGTAGAACTCCGCATAAGCTCGTTTTCTGGGATCAGCAACTCCAAACTGGAAAGTAACACAGCGAAAAATTAAAGTTTGACAAAGCTTCTACGAGTTCTGTGATTCGTGTCGGTGGATACCAGTCTAAAAAGCCTTCAGCTCCATCAGTAAAATATTACTTAGTCCCTGTTCAGACCCGCAGCCCGGACTGCCTGAGCACTGGTCAGGAAAACAAAGGCCTGAAGTGGCACCTGACAAAGAAACTCCATTACAAGACAGCACACTGCAGTTTTAAGCGCAGAGGCACTCCACCTCTATCAACGCGGAAGCGTCCCACGCCCTCCCCGCTACTCGTTGTGTACATAAAACACGCCGTTACGGCAAGATTTGTGCCCGTGGGCAGCTGCAAAACTGTAAGCCCAGATAAACGGCCTCCTAAAGCCACATGCTACACTCCACCTACGCTGCACGTCAACCACCGAAGCCTGGTAAAGTTGTACAAGCCTGCCAAGCCACTCTTGCGGCTCACCGACGTACAAAAGACCCAGTCCTGACTCCACGGATGCTCCTTCATCTGAACAAGGGGATATGCTCAAAAAGCCCCCAGAAATGTGAAGGAAAGTCCACGGTGGGTTTGTTCAACAGTATTTAAAAAGAGAACAAAGTAAACCGCTCCTGACACCCCTGTTGCTTGTTCTCAATACGGCCTGCGGCGTGCCTAATGGATCGATGCGGGGGTGCCGCAGAAGGTGTAAAGCCACGGGTCGGCAGGAGAAGGGATGTTCTAAGCGTGCCCACAAACAAGCGGGCCTACCTCCCAACAGACAGGGTAAGTGGAGGCTGAACTTGAACTGCGCAAGTTTATTGCTTCTGATCGACGTCTGCTGATCTCCGAGAAGTTTAAGTCAACTGCGATAGGTTTGCGATGGACGACCTGAAGTTAACTTTGATTTCGAGTCACTTTTATCAACAGCCTCCCGAGTGCTCAAGTGCTGCAGATAGTATGTGCGTAGTTCGGGGGGGCGAACCAAAATTTGGTTCTTTCACAGTCATTTTTTGCTTTTAGGACACAGGTAATAGATCTTTTAGGATCTTCAGGTAATCCAGTACCTGAAGGGGCTACAAGGAAGCTGGGGGGGACTTTTTACAAGGGCCTGTAGTGACAGGACAAGGGGTAATGGGTTTAAATTGAAAGTGGGGAGGTTTAGATTGGATATCAGGAAGTTCTTCCCAGAGAGGGTGGTGAGGCACTGGAACAGGTTTCCCCGAGAAGCTGTGGATGCCCCATCCCTGGAAGTGTTCAAGGCCAGGCTGGATGAGGCTTTGAGCAACCTGGTCTAGTGGAAGGGGTCCCTGCCCATGGCAGGGGGGTTGGAACTGGATGGGCTCTAAGGTCCCTTCACACCCAAACCGTTCCTTGACAATTCAAACTGCAGTGCTTGCTTTGTGCTCGAGATCCAAGAATTATTTAATAACATCACTGAAGAACAACTACCACTCTTACCTTTGACAGAAGTCTCTTAAAGACCACAAAAAACAAACTGCAATCTGTAAGTGCTTTTTTTTTTTTTTTAAATGCCATTTCCATACGATACTTCAAAAGGAAGGATAGAAGGACCTTCTAGCCTTCTAGCCTTCTCCATACGGATATCCGCAGCGTGAAGGCGGGGTTTTACAAACTGCTTATGAGCCAGTTTTCTGAAATCAGTCTAGAGGTGAGACACTGACAGCACTCTCACGTCGCAAATACCGTGACAGAGAAAGGCCCAGACTACCTAGAGTTAACGTTCATCAGTCGTGAAAACGATCAAGAGTAGTCTAGGGAGACTTAAGTTGTCACGAATTGTGTGACCTTGATCACACAGCTTAAAGCATCAGGCTATTCATATAATTTCTCCAAATGAAGATTAGAAAGATTTATTTATATTCTGGAAACATGCCTGCAAAAATACGTTACTAAAGCTTTTTGATGAACAGCTCAACCAAATCTCAACAAAAAAATATTATGAATTCTTGAAGCACTCTAACGAGTCCAGTTTATAACTGAAGGACTACAGGGCTCACCTTGTATAAAGCTGCACATCCCAGAGATAGAAAAAATGCCCCAAATAGGTGAAACTTCATCCGCCTGGCCAAAAGGCCCCGCATTTGTGGCTTAGGCAATAGTGCAGACGACATGGTGGCTGGATTTCCTAGAAAGAAAAAAAAAAAAGAGAAAGCATCATGGGACAAGAAGCACTACTTAAATAATTTTCTGTAACACTGCTGTAAAAAGATGGTGCTTTTTGTGTAATTATCTTCACAACATAAGCAACAGCACTCCTCTGCATCTGACTGTTCAATGAGTGTATTTAGGAGGCAGCATTCAAGGACAACCTATTTAGGGCATGAGTGTTTACACACCTTACACCCAGTACTCACGGAATCATGCCGGCCTTCACTGTTCATACTAAACCCTTCCCTCCCTGCAGGGTCTCTCCTGTCAGGCCTGCTGCCCTGAGGTTTACATCAGAAGCCATTCAGAACACTGACCACACTTTATTCGTTTCTGAGGAAAGGCACACGCCTCCTCACCTAGTTTGCACTTTGTTGTTTTTTTTTTTTTTAAATAACCGCAAATCCTATTGTATTAAAGGATGGGGTGGGGTTTTTTTTCTATTTGTAAGAATTTACTGAAAACCTACAAGGCCTGAAGCAGGCGGCTCTCCTTAAACCCAGGTTAAAGGTCTGCTCGTCAGGGCGCTACCCCGGGCAGCGCTGCCCGCAGGGTGCTGCCCTCCGCGCTGCCTCCTGCACCCGGGGCGCGGGAGCCAAGGCCAGG